TCAGTTGATCAGCATGGCAATGTAGATGTGATGAATCACTTTAAATACAAGCCAATTCTTAAACACCACAAAAGATAAATTTGCTTGTCAAAGAAGTATACTTCCCGATAAATCAATACAAAGTATACAGTGGCGGATTTAAGGAAAGCGTACATGTGTATGATCCCTCCCCTAAAATTTCAAAGTGTGATATGAATAATATCAATATTGCCATAGTTTAGTACAATACCAATATATTTGTGCCTAGTTTTACTCTTAAAATACACAAAAACCCAAGAGCTTCAGGGGGCTTCGCCCCCTAGGCCCCCTTCATTCAAAGTATGATATGACTAATATTAATTATGCCATACTTTGGAACATAACTAACCAATTCCTACATAATTGTGCCTGGTTTTACTCTTAAAATACACAAAAACCCACGAGCTTCAGGGGGCTTCACCCCCTGGACCCCCTTCATTCAAAGTATGACATGACCAATATTAATAATGTCATACTTTGGTACATAATAACCAATACCACTACATGTATAATTGTCCTGGTTTTATTCTTAAAATACCCGAAAACCCTGGAGATTCTGGGGAATTACCCTCCCTTGGCCTCCACCAGTGCTTCACCCAGGACCCACTGGTGGCCTTAAGGCGGCCCCAGACCTCTTGCTTCAACGAAGTTTTACACGTCCCCCCCCCTCCTGAATCCGCCTATGGTATATAAATGATTAGTCTTTTAGAATCAATCGATCAAGGTACGTAAGACAAAGAAGAAAATAAATAATCTGTCCTCTCCGCGATAATCTTGAAAATAAATGATCTGTCCATGACAGGCATGAAAATAAATAATCCGTCTCAAAAAAATTTGCCAGCCCCCCCCCCCTTCAGAATCAAATGGTCGTCCCCTTAGTCGTACTTGACATTTTCTATGCACCCCTAATCAAAGATTCGGGGTATAAAAATTTTGTCATGTCCATCCATCTGTCTGTCTGTTTATCAGTTTGTTTACAAAAACCTTTGGGTTGCTCTGAACTTTTGATTTTACGAATCTATGAATTTCATATTCCATACATGGGCATATCTTGTGAGAAAACGTTGTGTACCAACATATTTGACCTATTGACTTTGGAGTTTGATCCACTTCTGTAATTTATCTAGTTAAACCTTAACCAAATTTTTTGAACAGTTGGTACAATGGCTTTGATTCACACTTCACTTAAATGTGTATTTATTGTGTCAAGATCTTTCCACAGATATATTTTTACCTGTTGTCCTTGACATTAGAATTGAACTATAAAACAAAAATTTTGACCTATGACCTTGACCTCTTAGTTTGACCTAATTTTGAAAATCTTTGATCTTGACCATAATTTTTGAATAGTTTGCAGCAGGGCTTTTATATTTCACTTTGCATTTATTGTATCAAGATTTACATAAGTACCATTAAATTTGATCTTTTTTACCTTGAACTTTGAGTTTGAATCACTTTTTAAAAAATCTTTGGCCTTGGTAATATCTTTTGAAAAGTTGGTGCTTGGGCTTTCAGTTTTAACAAGTATATTTACTGAGGCGAGTTCTTTCTTTTGGTATTTTAACATTTTTGCATATATGCGAAACTTTAATTTTTTTTTATCAGCATCGTCGAAAACCCATGGGTGATCTCACAGGCACTTGTTTCGTAAGCGGGGTACCCCCTACTTATATTTACCACTCGTGGTAAATATAAGTAGGGGGTACCCCGTATACGAAACAAGTGGTAAATATAAGTAAGGGTACCCCGCATACGAAACAAGTGCCTGTGGGTGATCAAGCTCGTCCGGTTTACTTAGGTAGGACTTTATTTGTCATACCGGCGTACGCCGAATGCGCCGCTTGACCTTTGGTAACCCGGCATGTTACGCCATTTGACTTGGGAAGGTTCGCCGATCTGAAATGACCGGCGAGGAAATCGCCGGTCTTAGAAATATGGCGGGAAGAGAAAACAACTGTGAAAATGCCGATACTTTTTACCAAATCGACATGTTCTTTATTTGTTTGCATATTTTGAGCAAATCTTTATTCATATATTTAAAATATATTTTTATTTTCTGAAAAATAAAATTTTTTTTACGAGGTCGATCCATGGTTTTTTTTTTTTAAATTGAATTTCGAATTATTTTACTAGGACAATGTAAAAAGTGATAAGTCTTAATTAATTGATTATCATTTAGCGTAATTGTTCATTTTTTTATGTTTTCGCCGGTTTTCTTCATTTGCCTCTTAGCCGTTTTGCGCCGGTCATATGACCGGCGCAATTACGCCGATCAGTGACATTGAAGTTGGCCCTTCGACGAGATTACCCGTGGGTTTCCGACGATGCTTTATCAGCTCTATAGGGGACATCAGTGTTTCACTTTTCCTTGTCTATTGAAATCTGTGCAAAGTAACGGCTCATTTTAACAACTCGAGAATTATTAGAATAATCCGAACCAGCAATAGCACGAATTCACCAATCACTGTCAGCTGACCATTTTGGCGCGAAAACTGATCAAGCTTTATAATGACAGATTTGCAGAAGAGAAAAAAGAGTTTGATAATTCGTCTGATTACAGCAAATAAAACACTATGGGTAAGATTAAGAGACTAGTAGGAGAACATTTCCTTGAAAGAGTTCTTGCTAAATAGAGTAAGGCAGGTATGTAATTCGGTTCCAACTGCTCAAAGCGCCCCCTCCCCGTTTGTTTATAATGATGAATAACTGATGAATTGTTTCTTAGGCCTGTTTACAGTGATTATACCATAAGAGGCCAAATTTTAGAGGCATTATCCTGTTATTGACTTCGCGAAGTCAATAAGTTTGACGTTGTTGACGTTAACGTCAAATTCATCCCAGGTCATTTTTATACTTCCAACATTCTCAAGATTTTCATATCGCTTATAACAGTTTCAATGCTGGGTTCGTAATGTTCACATTGTTTACAACTATTTTACCCACTGAAGTGAAACAAATAACAGGAGTATATATCGTTCGACAAGGGTATTTAAAGCCTTTGTATTTCACCATGAAGCGAATCACATAACGGGAGTAAATAGCGACGCAAGTAAAGCCCAGAACTAATTTGATTCGCGAATGAAATAACAGGAGTATATATAGAGAGACGGAGGTACTATTTAAAGTGTATGTATGTCACTGAAAGCGAATCAAATAACAGGAGTATATATAGAGAGACGGATATCATTCTAAAAGGTACTAGAAGGGGAAGATTTCTCCAGGAAAAGGGTTTCTTTGGGGGAGAGATAAAATAAAAATGGGGCTTGGTTTTTTGGGGGGGGGTCATTCTTAAAAATGCACGTTTTAATGAAAAGTGAATCAAATAACAGGAGTAAATAGTGACGCAATAAGCCTAGAACTAATTTGATTCGCGAATCAAATAACAGGAGTATATATATAGAGAGACGGATATCATTCTAAAAGGTACAAGAAGGGGAAGATTTCCCCGGGAAAAGGGTTTCTTTGGGGGAGAGATAAAATAAAAATGGGCTTGGTTTTTTTGGGGGGGATCATTCTTAAAAATGCACGTTTAAATGAAAAGCAAATCAAATAACAGGAGTAAATAGCGACGCAAGTAAAGCCAAGAACTAATTTGATTCGCGAATGAAATAACAGGAGTATATATAGAGAGACGGAGGTACTATTTAAAGTGTATGTATGTCACTGAAAGCGTATCAAATAACAGGAGTATATATAGAGAGACGGATATCATTCTAAAAGGTACAAGAAGGGGAAGATTTCCCCGGGAAAAGGGTTTCTTTGGGGGAGAGATAAAATAAAAATGGGGCTTGGTTTTTTTGGGGGGATCATTCTTAAAAATGCAGGTTTTAATGAAAAGCGAATCAAATAACAGGAGTAAATAGCGACGCATGTAAGCCTAGAACTAATTTGATTTGTTCCATTTATGCATTATTATTATAAGGAATAAACGGAATAAAGTCATAAAAGTAAGGTGCAAGAATTCATAATTTGGTTTATTCCGTTTATGCATTATTATTATAAAGAATAAACGGAATAAAGCCATAAAAATAAAGTACAAGAAATCATAATTTGGTTTATTCCGTTTATGCATTTCTCCAAAATATGTCGCCATAAGGAATAAACGAAATAAAGCCATAAAATTAAAGTACAAGAAATCATAATTTGGTTTATTCCGTTTATGTATTTCTCCAAAATATGTTGCCATAAGGAATAAACGGAATAAAGTCATAAAATTAAAGTACCAGAAATCATAATTTGGTTTATTCCGTTTATGCATTTCTCCAAAATATGTCGCCATAAGGAATAAACGGAATAAAGCCATAAAATTAAAGTACAAGAAATCATAATTTGGTTTATTCCGTTTGTGTATTTGTCCAAAATATGTCGCCATAAGGAATAAACGGAATAAAGCCATAAAATTAAGGTGCAAGAAATCATAATTTGGTTTATTCCGTTTATGCAAGACTAATGGTATAGTGGTTAATAAAGCACTAATTGTGTATGTATTCTCTTTAGAGAAGTGGATAGGCTTTCTCCTACATCCACTTCTCTTTGCAAGCGTAATGGTATAGTGGTTAATAAAGCACTAATTGTGTATGTATTCTCTTTAGAGAAGTGGATAGGCTTTCTCCTACATCCACTTCTCTTTGCAAGCGTTATGATTCTGGAAAACATGTTATTCTGGAAAAAGTATACAATGAAAGCTTGTCCACTTCTCTAAAGTTAGTAAAGAGAGTATTAATCATATCATTTGGAGGGTATGTTTAATATTTTTTCTTTTCAAATTCTGGTAGCTAAAAATATGTTTAAAAAATATATTCATGAGCTATTGATAACACAATTTATAAGAGATGTAACCTTTCATGAACTTTAGGAATTGGGAAATGTCTTTTTCAGAGTGGGGGATGTATTCCCTTCTTGACTGCTTCCATTTTTTTTCATTAAGTTATTCAGTATATAAGTTTGTTAGCTGTACCCAATTATCATGGTTGTATCTGCAGGTGAATGCTGTATTTTTTGCTGGCTATATGGGTAGTAATTACATCGGCTGTACCCTAGAGAGAATAAGGTATGTATTACGTAAATTACTTTCCCATACTATGACTACTGTAGTATCTTAGTGATACTTGAGATTTTTAAGCAACTTAATTTTATGCAGAGGTATTGATTAAACTCGGGTGTTTAAAATTAAGGGTTTAGAGTTCATCATGTTAATCCGTAATTATTATGTTTCATCAGACGTCATGGATGGGGAATTCTCATAACATACAGCCAGTCTTTCTACAAACGTGTAATGATAATGCCTAACAATCAGAATGCAACAATGAGTCGTGGAATGGTTCGAAATATTACATTACAAAGTTTGTCAATGGTGAATGCCAACCTTTTGCTCAACATCACTGGAAGCGAGGTCCATACTAGAGGTATATATTCTGTTAATGTAAAAATTAGATACTCATTTAAAAAGAAACAATGTAATGTACTGTTGATTCATTTTACTACTTTTAAAATATACCGTATAAGCAGAATTTTTAGTGAGGATTTAATTTTGGCATTTTTTAGGGAGGGTGATGAGATCGTGAAAATAAAATATCACTAAAATATTAACTTCGTTTTATATGTAATAACTTCTTTTGTTAACATTTTAAAATCATTAAAATTACTTTTGGCTAAAAATAAAATACCAGTTTTTAATGACAAATCGCTAAATTTGTGTCTTGCTAAAATTTCCACTCATACAGTATTATTAAAGGCATTCGAAAGTTTTTAGAATGGTTAGATGAAATAAGTATTTATTGGATCATAATATTGTTAAAATATCTGAAAAATCAGAAAACGGTGTGGCATTTAGAACAGCTAGCTTTTTGATAAACAGTTAACATTTTGCATGCTTTATCAAACCATTTTCCAAACTTTTTAAATACACCTTATACAGGTTTTAATTAGAAATGCCCTATAAATTTCCCAAACAGATTTACGTGATACATCTTAAATTACAGAGACGAGCGAGTCTTCCTACAGCTGCTCTTTTGAAACACCAGATGAGAACTGTTTTCTTCACAATACCAACTACAGTAACCCATGGACCAGAGAAAGTGTGAGAACTTCTGTATTTCTATTATGAAATGAAAAAAAAAATGTCAACATAATTTTAAAACTTGCATGTTGACATAAATGTGTTGCATGTCTACATAATTATGTTGCATGTTATCATAATTTGTCTTGCATGTAGGGAGCAGAAATATGCCACCATACAGGCAAGTATATAGCAATGTTCTGAATTATTAAAAAAGATGGTTTAAAGTAACTGTGCACTTTGCTTAGAGGAAAAATTCTATTGGAGATATCTGTGTTTTGTAGAATTCCACTCCTTCCTTCACAGGCCCACCCTCTGCTTACAGTGGGGAGTACTATATATATATGCCATCATCCAGTATACCGGCTGGCAATAATTCGTATCTGATGGAATCTGACATTCTGTATCAAAGTAAGTCAGACTTCTTCTTTCTATTCTTGTTGAAAGGTAATCAAAATAATTATAAAATTACAGATTTTCGTATTAACCGTGAAGCATAGACTGTATCATACATTGTAAATCGTGTTCTTTTTTTCACACAAATGTTGTCTCTGTTCTGAAATGGGAAACTACGAGGGGTGATCAAAAATTTCACAAACTAATTGAATAACTTCCATACAAGAGAAATGATATAAGGTTCAGAGTTTATGACTTTTTAAAGTAGACCTCTGTGATTTTAATGCACATCTGCATGCTACCATTTTGCCAATGCACAAATCATGTGATCCAGGAGGTCATGTGACATGCTCTTTAGCATTCTGTTCACATGCAGATTCTGAAGCTAATTTTTCCTTCATTTTTATTTCTTATCATGCAAGTAATTTTTTAACAAGAATTGTCCATTTGTCAAAAATGGTCAAATCTCGGAAATGGAAGGATGGATAAGGATATCTTGTACCAGAATGAGCATGGTGAGTGGTGACCATCTGATTACATCACAAAATATTTCTGAATATTCTAATATTAATATATTTCAGATTCCTCAAAATGCCTGAGGTTCTATTACCACATGTATGGCATAGGATCTTTGAGAGTAAGGATTTATATTGTGCCTTACCGACAGGAATATACTATATGGCAGAGTTATGGAAACCTAGGAATTATGTGGCATCTTGCTGAAATACCAATTAATTTATATTTTGTCCCCTTTAAGGTACTTGTACTGTAAACATATTTAATTCCAATTTTAACATTTCTTGGTTTTCTATGTTGGCCTACAAACTCTGTCCAAATACCAATTTCACTGACATAAGGAAAGGGGAGATTCTGTGGATTAATTCTTTCACTTCTGTCAATGTACATTTTCCATGAGATATTACAGATAGAAAATCATAAATGCATCATATAAAGTACTCCATGACAAACTTAAATGAAAATTATTTTTGACCATTTACATTTAACATAAATTATTTTTTCCTATACAGAGAAAAATATGTCTTCAGTATTTTGGTTTTTAAAATAGTAATGAATATAAAGCAGTTTAATCAGTCTTCTAGCATATTTTGAGAAATATAATCAATATTTAACACAATATCCCATCACATACACTGTATTGCAGTATACATACACAACATTAATTTCTAGTAATATCCACCCTTAATCCTGTGTCAAAAACACAATCATAGATGTTATCATATTATTAACAATGTTGTATTTTAATATTTAACAGTTGAGACTTGTTGGCCTAACTGGAGGTAATAGTACATACACAAGTGACATTGCTGTGGACTATTTAAACTATGATGATGGATTTTGTGAGTAAATAAATAAACTATGTGTAATTTTCTCTAAAAGTTTAAATTAAAAAATTGCAGTTTGTTTCATAAAAATGAAGGAGGGATAACAAACAAAAGTAGTCTTTACAGAATCTTGAAATCTTTTCCAAAAAAAAAAAGGATTTCAGTATTGAAAAAAACGATCTAATTGTTTTATATGATTATTTTTTTTCTTACTTTGAATTTTTCAAAATGAAAAGAAATGATCTATTAAAACATATCAAGAAGAGCTAAATAGACATACTTATGATAGTAAAGAGATACCAGGCTCTTGGGCCATAAAGATTAGCTCACTAGTTTGATCTGTCTCACTTAACAAAATGAATTTATCTTGGAAATGTGAGACTGAGATTTTTTTTTCAAAAAAGAAGCTTTTTAGTTTTTATGGCCCTGGAGCCAGACAGTGGCATTTTTAGGTCACCTGAGTAAACTCAGGTGACCTATTGCTATCTGTTTTCGTCCGTCGTCGTGCGTCGTGCGTCGTGCGTTGTGCGTTAACATTTGAACATTTTCAGCTTCTTCTCTGCAACCACTGAACCAATTTTAACCAAATTTGGCATAAAGCATCTATGGGTGAAGGGGAACAAAAATTGTGAATTTCATGATCCCTGCCCCCCTGGGGCCTGTGGGGTGGGGCCAAAACCACTAAAATTAGTGCAATCTTTAAAAATCTTCTTCTTTACTCCTGGACATCAAGCAGTCAAACTGTTTGCATGATTGTAATCAGCAATAAGTCCTCTACCAAAATTGTGAAATTCATGGCCCTGGGGTCAGGGGTTCTAGTGCTAGGGCGGGGCTAAATAAGTAGGTAGTGAAAATGCATTATTTCTTTGAAAATCTTCTTCTCTGCTCCTGGGTGTTAAATAAACCAACTAAGTACATAGTTAAAATGATTGTTTTCATATTTGCATGACCTTTAAAGAAGCCCTCCCCCCCCCCCCCCCCCCCCCTCTCTCTCTCTCTCGAAATAAAACCTTTGAAGAGAGAACTAAAAATAAAAAAGTTATTTAATGTAAAAATAAATCAACTCAAAGGAGTGCCTCTACCAAAATTGTGAATTTTATGGCCCCAGGGTCAGGGGTTCTGGTGTAAGGGCGGGGCTCTATTGATTATATAGTGAAAATATATGAATTCTTTGAAAATCTTCTTCTCTGCTCCTGGGTATTAAATGAACTAACTAAGTACATAGTTAAGATGAGCAAGAGTGCCTCTACCAAAATTGTGAATTTTATGGCCCCAGGTGTCAGGGGTTCTGGTGTTAGGGCGGGGCTCTATTGATTATATAGTGAAAATACATGAATTCTTTGAAAATCTTCTTCTCTGCTCCTGGATATTAAATAAACTAACTAAGTATATAGTTATGATGAGCAAGAGTGCCTTTACCAAAATTGTGAATTTTATAGCCCCAGGGTCAGGGCTTCTGGTGTTAGGGCGGGGCTCTATTGATTATATAGTGAAAATACATGAATTCTTTGAAAATCTTCTTCTCTGCTCCCGGGTATTAAATGAACTAACTAAGTACATAGTTATGAGCAAGCAAGAGTGCCTCTACCAAAATTGTGAATTTTATGGCCCCAGGGTCAGGGGTTCTGGTGTTAGGGCGGGGCTCTATTGATTATATAGTGAAAATACATGAATTCTTTGAAAATCTTCTTCTCTGCTCCCGGGTATTAAATAAACTAACTAAGTACATAGTTATGATGAGCAAGAGTGCCTCTACCAAAATTGTAAATTTTATGGCCCCAGTCAGGGGTTCTGGTGTTAGGGCGGGGCTCTATTGATTATATAGTGAAAATACATTAAATCTTTGAAAATTTTCTTCTCTGCTCCAGGGTATTAAAGCAGATGAACTACCAATATATTTATGATGGACAAGAGCCCATATCTTCCACAATTATGAATTTCAAGGCCCCAGGGTCAGGGGTACCATAAAAATGGGGGGATTGTACTTATATACTGAAAATGAATAAATGGTTTGAAATCTGCTCCTTGGTATTAATCAAATATTAAGGCCTAAGGGTCAGGGGTTGATGTATGGTAGGGGCACTACTGATTATTGCTGAATATTACTGATTAGTTGAAATGCATTTTGTGTTCCCTTACCCTGCGTATGGGTATTAAGTAAACAAAATAAGCAACTGCTAAGTGTATTGTTATGATGATCAATGGTGCCTCTTTCAAAATTGTGAATGCCATCGCATCTGGCTTAAAACATGAATCAAATTCAATCACTGGAAAGTTGTTGCATAATGCTCAGGTGACCTATAAGGCCCATGGGCCTCTTGTAAAATTAAGGTATTGAAATAGCAAAGTGTAAGAAAATGAAATTGGTAATTTTGACTTATTTGAAAAGTATATTATAGTTTGTGTTACTCCATTTTCCTTGCAAGGTTTTGGAGCAGCAACCATTCCGTCAACAGTTCCAGTAACCACTGCCCATCCATCAACATCATCAACAACAACAACAACATCAACATCAACAACAACAACAAATGGTTTTGATAAAAAACTTTCCTTATTTGAAATTTAATATAATAAATATTTTAGGCTGTTACTTACCCTTAGGAGTATCATGAATATGAAATCAATGACTAATGATCCAAATTGTTTTATAAATGAGAACACTTAACTTTTATTCATCATTATTTCTACATTTTTGAATATTTATGCCCCCCTTCGAAGAAGGGAGGGCATATTGCTTTGCTGCTGTCTGTCGGTCCGTCGGTCTGTCGGTCCACTTAGTTTGTGTTCATTTTCTTCGCAACCGTTGCACATACTGAAATGAAATTTGGTATACAGATATATCACATGAATATCTAGGTCAAGTTATATTTCGGGTACGATTGTGCCATTTTTGACAGAGTTATGCCCCTTGGACTTAGAAAAATTTCAATTATTTGCAGTTTCCGTTCAATTTCTTTACAACCGTTGCACATACTTAGATGAAATTTAGTATGCAGATATATCACATGAATATCTAGGTCAAGTTCTGTTTTGGGTACGATTGCACCATTTTTGACAGAGTTATGCCCCTTGGACTTAGAAAAATTCCAATTATTTGCAGTTTCCGTTCAATTTCTTTACAACCGTTGCACATACTTAGATGAAATTTAGTTTGCAGATATATCAGATGAATATCTAGGGCAACTTCTGTTTTGAAACGCATTGCGCCATTTTTGACAGAGTTATGTTCCTTGGACTTAGAAAAATTCCAATTATTTGCAGTTTCCGTTCATTTTCTTCGCAGAGCTTGCACGTACTTAAATGAAATTTAGTATACAGATTTATCAGATGACCATCTAGGTCAAGTTCTGTTTAGGGTACAATCGGGCCATTTTTGACAGAATTATGCCCCTATTATAAAAATTTCAATTATTTGCAGTTTCCGTTCATTTTCTTTGCAACCGTTGCACATACTGAAATGAAATTTTGTACACAGATATATCACATTAATATCTAGGTCAAGTTCTGGTTTAGGTATGATTGCACCATTTTTCACAGAGTTATGCCCCTTGGACTTAAAAAAATTTCAATTATTTGCAGTTTCCGTTCATTTTCTTTGCAACCGTTGCACATGCCGAGATGAAATTTAGTATACAGATTTATCAGATGAATATCTAGGTCAAGTTATGTTTTGGGTACAATCGTGCCATTTTTGACAGAGTTTTGCCCATTGTTTAAAATTAACGCTCGCCCACTCGCAAATTGCGAGTAAAATTTTGTGTGGGCTCATAAAATTTATAACTTGCTCGCCCACATTGCGAATGAAAATTCTGCAGGGGCCGAATTCATTCTACCAGTCCCCTCACTGAAAAACAGACATTTCCACAGGTTTTTTTATTCAAAACTCCCAACCAATGAAATAAATCACAGCAGCATGGTCCTATTGTTCGTAAATATCCTTCATCTATTCCATTTAACAGTACTACATGATTTGTGAAAGCCCTAAAATGATCGTTTTTCCTAATTCGAATTTCCTCCATTCTTCTGTACATGGTTGATATATGAAAGATATACAATTTTAATAACTCCAAACTACCTATTCGTATAAATTATAAGTATTTTTACTTATTAATATTTCAGAAATGTTACAGTTAAAATATTTAACATTGAAAATCTTATTTATGTTCCATTGTCACTTCAACAGTTCAACTTAAAGGAGTAAATACATGTATATGTGTACAATGTAAAAAAAAAAAAAGGATAGCAAAAATGAAACTTGAATTCAATTTTATTTCCTTTAATTAAATATCTATATGACATTTGATTTTTATAAAGTAGGAACTCCAATTTAAACAAATGTATTTATACACAATCATATTTTATTTTAATTTACTTTTGTCCCAGTGTCCAAAAAAAGGAACATTTTTTTTTAATTACAGAAACTGACTGTGGGCTAACAAATTTAGCTGTGGGCTCCTAAATTTGAAATGTTAGGAGCCCACATGGCTAGTGGAAATTTCAGTTAATTTTAAACCCTGGTTTTGCCCCTTGGACTTGAAAAAATTCCAATTGGGGGGAGGGGGGCATAAGTGTTTTACAAACATCTCTTGTCAAAAATGTCTTTTATAATTAAAAAAAAAAAAGTTCTGACCTGAATGAATGAAAATGAAAGTAGGGAAAATATGATCAGGTTGACAACAAACTAGAATCTGATCACTTCAGTCCTCTTTACTCATACATATGTTACTTGACACAAAATGTCACTCTGTCGTGATAAATATTGCAGATTCTGAATACCTTAAACTTTATTACCTGATTAAGCTAATTATTCTTAGCTTGAAGACAAAGTATGCACAAGCAAGCTGATCAAATTGAGCTTGATGACAAACTTAAATTCAGTCCTGAACACATTGTTTTTATTATTGCAGGAACATGTGGAGGAACATTTGTTGGACAGTTTTCTGGATATATTACAAGTCCAAATTATCCCAACTCTTATCCAAGTAATGCATACTGTGAATGGAACATCATAGTGCCAAGTGGATATGTCGTCAAAATAATTGTAATATATTTCTACACAGAGAGTGGTTATGATTATGTAACAATCTTGGATCCTATTGCAAATACACAAATTGGAAGGTAAATTTAGAGTATATTCAGTGTTACTAATTAATTGGTTTTAGAATATATATTTTTAGCTCACCTGAGCTGAAAGCTCAAGTGAACTTTTCTGATCACATTTTGTCTGATGTCTGTCTCTAAACTTTTTACATTTTCAACTTCTACTTCAGAACCACTCAGGTCAAAATTCAATCTAACTTGCCGCAAGTGAGCTTTTCTGATCACATTTTGTCCGGAGTCCGTCTGTCTGTCCGTCTGTATGTAAACTTTTCACATTTTCGACTTCTCAAGAACCACTGGGCCAATTTCAACCAAACTTGCCACAAAGTATCCTTAGGTGAAGGGAATTCAATTTTGTTCAAATGAAGGGCCACAGCCTCTTCCAAGGGGAGATAACTAGAAAAAGAAAAACAATATTTGTGTAATTATCAGACTTTAAATAGTAAAACAACTTTCACATGTTTCATTAGATAAAATAAAGTGATTTAAGGTTAGTGTGAGGGCTGCTGACTATATTTAATACATATATTCATGGCATTGTTTATAAGGCATGAAGGTGAAAAAAAGTAAACTTCAAAACCAAGATTTGAATACTTTCAAATGTATTCATGCTAATTAAGGTCGGAAACATTGAAAACTTCAATGGCTTTTTAATGTTAATTTATTCAATGGGTTTAATTAATGAATTATTCAAGTTTTGTTCAACAATAAAACAAATTTGAATTGCACAGAGAATCTGGATCAATTACATGTATGTATTTTCATAGCGTTTTGAAATGATGGGAAAGATAGATATGGTTATTTGCTTAAATGGAAAATAATACTGCTAGCTATGATAATGTGTTCATTATTATGGATCTAAAATCTAATTATAAAAAAAAATAATTGTGCAGTTACCCAAACAATTGAAATTTGTGTATACATGTCATTAAACTGTCTTTTGTCCATTAGTACATTTAAAACAATTAATACAAAGAAACATTATTTAGTAGAACTGGACAAGTGCATTTTAATGTAGCTGCAGATCTGTAGTGTTATGGTTTTAACATATTTGTCTTTGACCATAATGCTACAGATCCTGTAATGCAAAAAAGGTGCAATTTATGGCGCAATATTTTTTGCACACTTTTGGGGAGAATTTCTCCACTTTCTAGCATTGGCCAATCAACTACCTTTCACTCATTTATTCTAGACACATTCTGTAGCCAATATATGTATATTTTATCGACCTCTCAACCATTTATAGTTGTCTCAACAGGCAATAAACTTGCTTGGAGTGAATTTTCAGCAATCTAACAAATAATCTTAATCAAGTGAGTTTATCACTTTTACAGACGACTATAAAGGGTTGGGAGATGGATAAAATATACAGATTAGTTAAATAATGTGCCTAGAATTAGGGAGTGAAAGGTAGTTATTTGACTGATGCTGGAAAGTGGAGAATGCGCAAAAAATATTGCGCTGTAAATTGCCTCTTTTTTGCATTGCGGGATCTGTAGTGTTATGGTCAAAGACAAATAATCATAACGCTACAGATCTGCAGCTAGAACTTTGCAAATTTTTGGTCTGTTTTGAATAAAAGATTAATTTCTGAAAACTTAATTTAAAGAGCCCCAGAGTTCTTTAAAATACTGTGTGTTTTTAAATTTTGCCCCAACAAAACACAAGCACAGAGAAATCAAAAACACTGTACATGAAGCAGAAGATTGTATTAACTTGAAGAGAATTCCCAAACTACTTTAAATTATTAGCTCCCCTTCGACAAAAGCTCAAATCAACCCATGATTAGTCAATATGATATGGATGCTTCCTCCGTTAGTGTAAATTTGAATTCGTTCAAATGATTACCCGTATGGCAGGGCTCGACATTAACACTTATCCTCTTGTTTAGTACCAGTGGAATTAAGACAAGTGAATATTGCTGGGCACTTGTCCAATTGGACAAGTGCATTTTAATGTGAAGGAGACTCTACATAATAAAAAGAATGACTGTTGAAAGTTAATTGATAGTTTCAAGATGGAAGCTGTACATAAAACTGGACTTTGATCCTGAAAGGGATCACTATTAATGGAGTTCATATTTCATAGGGATTGAAGTTCTCTAATTGCGTACTACTAGAAAGGCATGGAACTTACGAAGTTTGGATTCCGTTTGATGTTGACTGTTTCACTTGTAAATTTTTATTATGCTGTCAGGACAGAAAGTTTAGATAAAATTTCATTTTATGTGTTTCTTGTATTTATCAATAATATCATGAATCAATCAAAATTTATTTTTAAAATTTCAGACAATTGTAGTTGAAGTTCGGACATGTAAATGTGTTGGTCAATTTAAAGCCAAAAGTAGTCATATTGATATAGAAGCATCCTCAGGTAGTGTAGATTCAAGTTTGTTCAAATGATGACCCCAAGGATAGGGTGGGGCCTCAATGGGGATCCAAGTTTTTATATAGGAATGTATAAGTGCATGGAAAACTCTAGAAATTTTCTTCTTAAGAACAGAAAAATCATGGGGTTTATTGATATGGAAACATCCTCAGATAGTATAAAATTCATTTGCAACCCCATCCCCCTTCCCCTCATGTAAACTTTTCAATACTGATCTGATCTGTGCTTTTTTATGTGCTCAGGTGAGCAATTTGGCTCATAGGTCTATTGTCTTAGTGGAAGTTTCCACTTACAGACCTCAGAGTGTTTAGATTAGTATTTTATTAAAGAACTTTATTTCTTCATTTTAGATACTCTGGTACAATACCGTCTGGAACTGTATTCTATTCAAGTGCCAAATCCATTGTAATCAGTTTTTCTTCAGATTCCATTGTGCAATATCAAGGATTTTATCTTCAGTTTGAAGCTTCTGCACGTCCCAAAATACGTAAGATTAATTAAGTATATATATATTTCTTATGAAAATGTATTGCATTGTAAGGCCAATTAAAAATTTTTCCTGGATAAGAGTTTTAATCTTACCTGAGTGAGATTTTCTGATCAAAATTTGTCTATCATTGCCACTGGTGTCATTGTTAAAGATTTTCACAGAGAATGCTTGGTTGAAGGCAATTCAAGTTTTTTTTTTTTCAAATGAAGAGCCACACCGTCCTCCAAGTACAAAGCATCCTTGGGTGAAGGGGAGTTAAAATGAAGGACCAAGTTCCCTTACAAGGGGAGATAATAAAGAAAATCCAAAATTAGGGTGAGGTCATTAAATAAAATCTTCTCAAGATCCACTGGGCCAGAGAAGCTGAAACTTACGTGGAAGCATCCTGGGGTAGTGTGGATTCTAAATTTTACAAATCAGGACCCCCAGGGGAAGGACGGGGCCACAATAAGGAATTCATGTTTTATTTTGAAATACATAGAAAAAAATCTTTAAAAATCATTCTCAAGAACTACTTGGCCAAAGAAGCTGCAACTTATTTGGAAGCATCCTTGGATAGTGTAGATTCCAAATTGTCTAAATCATGATCCCTGGGGGTAGGGCGGTTTCACAATAGGTATTAGAAGGGTGGAAATCTGGTAAAGAATAGTAATGCCAAAGTTCTGCAGGTGACAGTTACTCAGGGCTCATGGGTCTCCTTTTATTGCTCTTAAGTTGGGAGAGCTTCAGCTAGACACCTTCTGTGAGACATTTGTTTCCTTATTGAGGTAGTTAGTTTAGATATATAGTTGAGGTATATTAGTTCCCAGTTAAAATTGCCTTAATTTGATCAGAAATCTTGTGTGTTTTGGTTTCAGAAGATCTAAGCATTTGAAGCAAAACATTGTGAGGAGAATGGCTAGTTTGAAACTTTTGCATCAGATTCAAGTTTTTGGAGCATGATAAACTTTAGAAAGAGGAATTCAAATTATGAATCAGTTTTCTTCTCAATTTTAGTACTGAAGTAGCTAAAATGCTACCCTCCTCAGGGGTTCAAAATTCCTCAAGCCTGACGTCCCGGACTAACAAATTCTGGATCCGGACTCGGCATTTAGAATTCACCAAAGTCCTGGGACTTGGCCATGTTTCTTGTTTATTTTTTTTTTTTAAGTTAAAAAAATGATCGTAAAGCTAAAAATAAAGCAAATTCTCAAATGTTTTAAGTAAAAATGTGGGTTTGTAGGCGTTAAAATACCCATAAAACATTACAAACGTTTCAAAAATACAATCCGTCTTTTTATTTTCCGTTGTGGTTAGACTCGTGCTTTTACGCAATTATTCATGTTTCCTCCTAACGTTATATGACAAACGGCAATGAGTTCTAAATTCTATTTATTGTAACAGATGGTTTATTCAGTAGTGAGTATTTGTAAAAGTTATTGTAATGTACCAATAATCTATCAGTCTGGTATTGTGTTGAAATACTCATGTATGACTATATGACAGTTAATGGAAGAAAAATAAAACATACATTAAATTTATGTTACTTATAATTTATTTTCATTTGTTGCATTGAATGAATAAAGACTATATGTATACATATATGTATATGTAATGTAATGTATACATATAGTCTTTATTCATTCAATGCAACAAATGAAAATAAATTATAAGTAACATAAATTTAATGATGTATAGGTAAATATGGACTCTGAAATTTCTTCCTCGGACTTGCCTAAAATTTACTCTTTAAGTCCTGGACTTAACCATGACCAAAAAAAATTTGAACCCCTGCTCCTATATAATAAAGGATATGATTTGACACAAAAGTATACTACACTAAGATACATAATTCTATTTATCGGTTTTTGATTTTGATAGACGGTGTTGCAGTGGTTACTAAAAAATAGAAATTTCTCTGAAATATTTTCAAAATGCTACTCCTCCTACAGTTTTGGTCTGATTGCAATGTAACTTTGCATACAAGTAGACTACATGAAGATACATAATTCTAAATATTGGTTTTTGATTTTGATAAACAATTTTGCCATGGTTACTAAAAATAGTAATTTCTGTGAAATATTTTAATATGCTACTCCTCCTACGGTTTTGGTCTGATTTCAACATAATTTGGCACAAAAGTATACTACACTAAGATACATAATTCTGTTTATTGTTTTTGATTTCGATGAATGGTGTTGCCATGGTTACTAAAAATAGAAATTTCTTCAAAATATTTTCAAAATCCTACAGTTTTGGTCTGATTTCACTGTAACTTGGCACACAAGCAGACTACACTATTATACATAATTCTGTGCATCAGTTTTTTTTATTTCTGTGAAGGGTCTTGCCTTGGTTACTAAAAGATTGATTGATTGTATACTGTTTAATGTCCCTCTCCAGAATATTTCTCTGATATGGAGACGTCACCATTGCCGGTGAAGGGCTGCAAATTTAGGCATATGCTCGGCACTTACGGCCTTTGAGCAGGGAGGGATCTTTATCGTGCCACACCTGCTGTGAAACGGGGCCTCGGTTTATACGGTCTCATCCGAAGGACCGCCCCATTTAGTCGCCTTTTACGACAAGCAAGGAGTACTGAGGACCTATTCTAACCCGGATCCCCACAGGACGGTTACTAAAAGAAGAAATTTCTTTGAAATACTTTCAAAATGCTACTCCTACTACAGTTTTGGTCTGATTTCAGTGTAACTTGGCACTCAAGTAGACTACACTATGAGATATAAATCTTTTTATCGGTTTTTGATTCCGATGAATGGATTTGCCATGGTTACTAAAAATAGAAATTTCTTTGAAAAACTTTCAAAATGCTACTTCTCCTACAGTTTTGGTCTGATTTCAATATAATGCAGTATTCAAGTAGACTATACTGAGATACGTAATTCTCTTTTTTCATTTTTTTATTTTGATTAGGGATGTCAACGAATATTCGAATATTCATTCGATGAGTTGATATTCGAATATAAATTCATGATTCGAATATTCGGATTTTAAGTATACAAGCATCAAAAAGAAAAAAAAATCTGGCAAAAACTGAAGTTTTATCAGAAATTGAATCAAATTCTCATCGTTGACCAATAATAAGATTTTATTTCAAACAAAATTAAAAGACACTCCTCTTGGATTACCTTAAAGGTGTGAAGAGTGTGTCTATTAAAATAATATAAATTCTTCATTTGATCATTTAATAAGAGGTATAACAGTGTCCAGTACTAAGAATTAGTTTGTATTGTTGAAAGGAAACATTTTTGTTTATGTATACATCATTTAAAATCATTATCATGAAATTAATTAGCTAAAAGTAATTTCGTTTAATGTTTCTCCATTAGATAATTGTTCTGTTTTTTTTTTTTGTTCTGTGTATCAGTATCAGTGAACACTTTGGTAAGATGATTAATTAATCTTGAACTTATTAAAAGAATCTTTTGAATTTTCGGGGAAATTTTTTTTTATTGCATTTTGGATATAAACTCTTCATATATTCTGTAAAATATTTTAAGAATATAATTAAAGTGCATTTACAAAACTCTACATGAAATTTTATTCCAAAATAATGACATAAAACGTATATATTGCTTGACATAAGAGTGAAGATACATGTATATACATATTATAATGCAAGATGTATTTATTTTATCGAATATTCGAATATATTCGAATACTTCTATCGAATATTCGAATATCAATTATTGACAATTTTGACATCCCTAATTTTGATGAATGATGTTGCCATGGTTTCTAAAATTGAAATTTTTGGTAAAATTCTTTTAAAAGGCTACTCCTACAGGTCTAGTCTTATTATAATCTTGCCACAAAAAAAGAGACTAAATCAAGGATCATTATTCTATTTATTGCTGTTATTGCTAAGTTTCAATTCCAACTGCTACTTTTCCTTTGTTATAAGTACAAACCAGTAGAGCTACAGTCTCGACAGAGAATTCTGGTTTAAATTGTCTTTTTGTCTGAATATTATATATTATTGTTATTAAAATATGTAATTGTTATGTTTAAATTTTTCAGCCTGCACATACTATGAGATTCCATGTCCAAGTGATGGGCGGTGCATTTATAGGTATCAGCTGTGTAATGGTCGAATGGATTGTCCTGATGGATTTGACGAGAAGCACTGCTCATCAGGTTAGTCTGAATTATTGTCCTGTCTATCCATACCCTTGATTTATAAATAATAAGTAATAGTATCAAGTAATAGAATATTTACATTCATTAAATGTTTTCCCCTGAATTTTTGTAGCTGGTAGTTGTAGCAAGTTGCTATATTTTCAAGGGTATATAAAATCAGCAAAATTAGTATATCATCCCACCTCAAATAAACATCAAAATAGAATATAAAATATAGCTGTAACTCTAATATAGAGAAAACTTAAAAAAAAATATACTAGACACCAAAAATGCTTGTTACCTGTAAATATCAAAATGTGCAATATTTTACATGGTTTAAGATAAAAGTAGTTCAAAATTTGACTTCCAAAAATGGTCATTGAGTACTGTATTTTTATTCAATCTTTAAAAAAGTTTATCTTGCTATGTACAGGAAGTACAATGGATCCCTACAACTCTACAGTGTCACCACCATGGAACATGACAGCATCACCACCCTACACCATGTCAACATCACTACCCTACTACAACATGACAACAACTGGTCCAGGGAACTTCACAATCCCCACTGTTAACATCTCAGACATTGGTAAGTTATTGATGTGGAATAAGTGAATTGGCTCCTGAGTTCCAATTTCTGACATTAGTAAAATATTACTGATGTGGAATAAGTGAATTAGCTCCTAAGTTCCAATCTCTGACATAAGTATGTGTGTTATTGATGTGGAATAAGTGAATAGGCTCCTAAGTTCCCATCTCTGACATAAGTATGTGTGTTATTGATGTGGATTAAGTGAATTGGCTCCCAAGCTCCCATCTCTGACATAAGTATGTGTGTTACTGATGTGGAATAAGAGAATTGGCTCCCAAGCTCCCATCTCTGACATAAGTATGTGTGTTATTGATGTGGAATAAGTGAATTGGCTCCCAAGCTCGCATCTCTGACATAAGTATGTGTGTTATTGATGTGGAATAAGAGAAAAGGCTCCCAAACTCCCATCTCTGACATAAGTATGTGTGTTATTGATGTGGAATAAGAGAATAGGCTCCCAAGCTCCCATCTCAGACATAAGTATGTGTGTTACTGATGTGGAATAAGAGAATAGGCTCCAAAGTTCCCATCTCTGACATAAGTATGTGTGTTATTGATGTGGAATAAGTGAATTGGCTCCCAAGCTCCCATCTCTGACATAAGTATGTGTGTTGTTGATGTGGAATAAGAGAATAGGCTCCCAAGCTCCCATCTCTGACATAAGTATGTGTGTTATTGATGTGGAATAAGTGAATTGGCTCCCAAGCTCGCATCTCTGACATAGTATGTGTGTTATTGATGTGGAATAAGAGAATTGGCTCCCAAACTCCCATCTCTGACATAAGTATGTGTGTTGTTGATGTGGAATAAGAGAATAGGCTCCCAAGCTCCCATCTCTGACATAAGTATGTGTGTTACTGATGTGGAATAAGAGAATAGGCTCCCAAGCTCTCATCTCTGACAAAAGTATGTGTGTTACTGATGTGGAATAAGAGAATAGGCTCCCAAGCTCCCATCTCTGACATAAGTATGTGTGTTATTGATGTGGAATAAGAGAATAGGCTCCTAAGTTCCCATCTCTGACATAAGTATGTGTGTTACTGATGTGGAATAAGTGAATTGGCTCCCAAGCTCCCATCTCTGACATAAGTATGTGTGTTACTGATGTGGAATAAGAGAATTGGCTCCCAAGCTCCCATCTCTGACATAAGTATGTGTGTTATTGATGAGGAATAAGTGAATTGGCTCCCAAGCTCGCATCTCTGACATAAGTATGTGTGTTATTGATGTGGAATAAGAGAATAGGCTCCCAAGCTCCCATCTCTGACATAAGTATGTGTGTTACTGATGTGGAATAAGAGAATAGGCTCCTAAGTTCCCATCTCTGACATAAGTATGTGTGTTATTGATGTGGAATAAGTGAATTGGGCCACCCTTAAAAAAATGTTTGTTTGGAATTGCCGCCTGGGGGTTTTCAGACCCAGGAGGGAGGGAGGGATATTATTTTTTTTTTTTTTTACAAATTGAAGCTAAATGATAAAAAATTAAAATCTCAATGAACAGTGGTAATTTCCATTTATTATCCTCTTTCTTTTATTTAATTAATATTATTTGGTCCGATTTTGAAAAAAAAGGTATACACAGAACGGTACTCGAATATTAATCTCATTTAGATGTTAAGATCTGTTCATTTATTAATAGTTAAATTTCAGCATCAAACTTCTAGTTTATTTTGAGAAATCTTTATTAAACAATACTTTTATCAGTCTATTTCGTAGTATTTCTCTTTGAAATTTACCCCTTTGTTAAGACAACGCTTGCAAACAGTTTGAACCACACAAAATTTCTTAGGAATAGTTGGGATGTTTTGTGGAAAACTGGGAGGGGGTGCTTGGTATGTTCTCGAGTTTTCACCATGCATCAGTTTAAACATTACGTTTCTAAGACGTCATACTGACAGACAACATTTTTCCTTTAGTATTTGGGATAAAACGTTTCTGATCCCTGTAATTTTTTAAGTGGGAACTGAACGATCAATTTTTTTCAATATTACGGACTTAACTTATCAAGTTCAATGTGCAATCTATTATAATAGATCTTTCCAGGTATCGATGTATCATTCCATTTAATTTTTTAGTCACCTTTTATTTTGATAGAGATGCATAAATGTTCTGCTCTTCAACACAACGCTTGAATGTTTCCAACATGGTCTGACATTTTGGCGGCTTTTATTTTGTCAAATCGCCACCTATAATTGCTATATCATAAATACTATGAAGAAAGCGTTTTATTGACCCAAGTTAAATTACTGTGAGCTCAAACCCGACTTTAAAAAGCTATTTCGACGAACGAACTAACTTGTACTAAACAAAACGATAAAAAAAAAATTGTTAATATTTTGGCAATAAAATTTTTTGAGCGGGGGGTATTTTAATGAGGCGGGCGGCAATTCCAAACAAACTAATTTTATTTTGGCCTTGGCTCCCAAGCTCCCATCTCTGACATAAGTATGTGTGTTTTACATGTGTACATGTACAATATGTGCTTTGCTCTTGTGAAAATACCATCTCTGACATAAGTATGTGTGTTATTGATGTGGAATAAGTGAATTGGGCCACCCTTAAAAAAATGTTTGTTTGGAATTTATCCATTCTTTTACATGGGGGTAAATGGGGTCAGATCCAGGAGGGAAGGGATATTGTTTTTTTTTTTTTTACAAATTGAAGCTAAATGATAAAAAATTAAAATCTCAATGAACAGTGGTAATTTCCATTTATTATCCTCTTTCTTTTATTTAATTAATATTAGTTGTCAAGGTACAGCATTGATCACTGGGTTAGTTTATTGTATTGTCTGTGGAACAGTGTCTATTGAATAATAATCTCATTTAGATGTTAAGATCTGTTCATTTATTAATAGTTAAATTTCAGCATCAAACTTCTAGTTTATTTTGAGAAATCTTTATTAAACAATACTTTTATAAAAGTCTATTTCGTAGTATTTCTCTTTCTTTACCCCTTTGTCTAAGACAACGCTTGCAAACAGTTTGAACCACACAAAATTTCTTAGGAATAGTTATGTTTTGTGGAAAACTGGGAGGGGGTGCTTGGTATGTTCGAGTGTTCACCATGCATCTTTAAACATTACGTTTTACAGTCAGGTACTGTACAGACAACATTTTTCCTTTAGTATTTTCAACTAATCTGATAAAACGTTCTCCCATCCCTGTAATTTTTTAAGTGGGAACTGAACGATCAATTTTTTTAGATTGCTGTACTTAACTTATCAAGTTCAAGGTGCACTCTATTACAATAACTCTTTCCAGGTATCGATGTATCATTCCATTTAATTTTTTATTCACCTTTTATTTTTTATGGAGATGCATAAATGTTCTGCTCTTCAACACAACACTTGAATGTTTCCAACATGGTCAAAACATTTTGGCGGCTTTTACCTTTATTGCAAATCGCCACCTATAATTGCTATATATAAATACTATGAAGAAAGCGTTTTATTGACCCAAGTTAAATTACTGTGAGCTCAAACCCGACTTTAAAAAGCTATTTTGACGAACGAACTAACTTGTACTAAACAAAACGAAAAAAAAAAATATTGTTAATATTTTGGCAATAAAATTTTTTGAAATTTTAATGAGGCGGGCGGCAATTCCAAACAAACTATAATTTTATTTTGGCCTTGACTCCCAAGCTCCCATCTCTGACATAAGTATGTGTGTTACTGATGTGGAATAAGAGAATGGGCTCCTAAGTTCCCATCTCTGACATAAGTATGTGTGTTATTGATGTGGAATAAGTGAATTGGGCCACCCTTAAAAAAATGTTTGTTTGGAATTGTGTGCCTGGGGGTATTGAAATCAGACCCAGGAGGGAGGGAGGGATATTATTTTTTTTTTTTTACAAATTGAAGCTAAATGATAAAAAATTAAAATCTCAATGAACAGTGGTAATTTCCATTTATTATCCTCTTTCTTTTATTTAATTAATATTATTTGGTCCGATTTTGAAAAAAAAGGTATACACAGAACGGTACTCGAATATTAATCTCATTTAGATGTTAAGATCTGTTCATTTATTAATAGTTAAATTTCAGCATCAAACTTCTAGTTTATTTTGAGAAATCTTTATTAAACAATACTTTTATCAGTCTATTTCATAGTATTTCTCTTTGAAATTTACCCCTTTGTTAAGACAACGCTTGCAAACAGTTTGAACCACACAAAATTTCTTAGGAATAGTTGGGATGTTTTGTGGAAAACTGGGAGGGGGTGCTTGGTATGTTCTCGAGTTTTCACCATGCATCAGTTTAAACATTACGTTTCTAAGACGTCATACTGACAGACAACATTTTTCCTTTAGTATTTGGGATAAAACGTTTCTGATCCCTGTAATTTTTTAAGTGGGAACTGAACGATCAATTTTTTTCAATATTACACACTTAACTTATCAAGTTCAATGTGCAATCTATTATAATAGATCTTTCCAGGTATCGATGTATCATTCCATTTAATTTTTTAGTCACCTTTTATTTTGATAGAGATGCATAAATGTTCTGCTCTTCAACACAACGCTTGAATGTTTCCAACATGGTCTGACATTTTGGCGGCTTTTATTTTGTCAAATCGCCACCTATAATTGCTATATCATAAATACTATGAAGAAAGCGTTTTATTGACCCAAGTTAAATTACTGTGAGCTCAAACCCGACTTTAAAAAGCTATTTCGACGAACGAACTAACTTGTACTAAACAAAACGAAAAAAAAAAATATTGTTAATATTTTGGCAATAAAATTTTTTGAGCGGGGGGTATTTTAATGAGGCGGGCGGCAAGTATGTGTGTTACTGATGTGGAATAAGTGAATTGGCTCCCAAGCTCGCATCTCTGACATAGTATGTGTGTTATTGATGTGGAATAAGAGAATTGGCTCCCAAACTCCCATCTCTGACATAAGTATGTGTGTTATTGATGTGGAATAAGAGAACAGGCTCCCAAGCTCCCATCTCTGACATAAGTATGTGTGTTACTGATGTGGAATAAG